TGAAGACCTACGATCCCCCGCCACGACTTGGCAACCCTAGAAGCAGGGGCATTTCAGTTGTGTTTTGACATCCTTCGCCTTCATTTGGCTTCTTCCCTAATACTCTTCCGAAGGCTAATAAAAATCTTTTATCTTGGGGCATGCTTGTGGTGACTAGATAGTTTTGCTTGTTCATTAAGTTGCTGTGGTATGATCTGGGAAGTGCTACATCCAAATCAACCATGAACTCATTGTTGACCTTTGTCAAACCTCTGTCCCTATCTATCTGAAACATGAATACTCCATCATACTTAGCAAGACTGAAGTCAACAACGTCATTGCTAGAATTCATGAATGTATTAATTACAGTTTTAAATTATAAAACGATGGGTGTTTTTAAATTGTAAAAAAAAATCTATTTTTGACAAGTCAGCTGAGACCACTAATCTAAAAACTACCTCTTCATATTATCTTTATTTTACCCGTGATTGCATTTCCCCCCCCCCCAAAAAAGGAGACATGGGATGGAAAGCCACTTCTAAAGAGCTGGAGTTAGACCGATTCATGGAGGAGAGGTCCAACAATGGCTACTAGCAATGGTTAGTTAAGGGAACTTCCATACACAGAGGCAATAAATCTCTGAACATCAGCATCAGGGAAGGCGTCGGCCTTTATTTCTTGTTTGTTAGCCCTTATGAACAACTTGTTGGCCTCTGTGTAAAACAGGATGCTGGACTAGATGGACCACTGGTCTTGATCCAGCAGGGCTCTTATGCTCTTATGATCTGACATGCCACAAATTGACTAAAATATTTACATCATTTTAATTCTAAGCCATGTATATTATTCTACTCCTTGAAGATAAGCAAACAAAAAGGCAGAGACACAGCATTTGTGACAGAAGACGTAAACTATAAGCTAGTACGGTCTATTCCTGTCCTACAAATAGTTTTAAAAAAATTAATGAGATCAATCCTAAATAGGTTGACTCAAAATCTTGCTTAGAATCCAGTTCATGTCTATTCAGTGGGCTTACTTCCAGGAAAGTGTTCTTAAGACTGAACTTTATGTGACCATCATAGGACAAGGTGCCAGGATAACATAGCCAAAACGTGTTTTCTATCAAACAACCAAAACAAATGAATTGCATAACAAACAAGCTATTTTTGCAGAACCAACTGCAAAATTAAAACTGAATTTTATAAAAATGAGCAGTGGTTATTACTTAGATTCCAGTGTAAAACTGTGTGAGAACTCAGTCAATATATGCCTCTTCTCTTCTATACTTTGCATTTGTGTAGACTTGAACATCAGTCTCCTGCCTTGTCATACCTTTGTGGCTTAAAATCAACAAATATCATTATGAATATGGGAATGATACTGACCTACCTTCCAGGATTGTTGTAAACACTGAGATAATGTGAACACTTAGAAAGTGCTATATAAATGGCAGACAATAGCATCAGTAATTATACTAATAATATAATGAAGAACAAGCTGGGGATGGTATGAATAGATTACTACTAGAAGAAGGGGTCTATGTATTCCTATGTTAAATCAGAATTTAAAGCAATTTTTTTAAAAAAAATCTGCTTGGTAATCTGCAAATAATGAGTGACACCCAAGGCATGATAAGAAAACTCATCAGCAGTGCTTTTACCCATTATGCTACTTTGCTTTATAAAAAAAACCCAAACCAGGGAACACATACATATCACTCATAAAATTCCATGAAAGTTAACAGCCAGAAAGACTTTCTGATTAACCTTTATTCATGAACAGCACTGTTTCCTAAATAATAATGATTAACAACTCATCCTTCATACAAACCAAAAATGCACTGTTTTTCAAATATCCACTACGTTTATTCTGCGTATTTGCTCTGCCTCAGGTTAAACCCTATTGACAGTTTTCAATTCTGCAAAGACTCTGAATCACGGCTGAAGAAACACGTCGGAAATTAAACAACTCTGTAGGCAGCAAAAAGCCACATTCTTAAGCTTAATGAGGACACCAAGTTTCACTTGTCCCCCTCTTACTTTATTTTTCCTTCCCCTAATTAGTCACCAGAAATGTAACCTAATCACAGAGTAATTCAAACCTTTGATTAATCAATACAAAGAGCGGCTTGCTGCTGTTATGCAATCTACTTTATTTGATACAGTTTTCATTAACAAATGGGAAGCAAGGTCAGAGTACAGCTCTCAGCAACTCACTGGGAGTTTTACCTTTTAGCTTGAAAGAAATTTTAAGGAGAGGTAAAACGGTATATTACAAGTAGAACATTTTTTCCCCTGTGAACAGCTTAAACAGTTTCTTGGAACTGGAATAAAGAACCACTGCCATTACAATACTTAAAGTCTAGTGCTTAGTTTCTAAGGCTGTGATCCTGTGCACACTACTCTGGAAGTAAATCCCATTGAAACTGGATGGACTTGCCTCTAAGTAAACACAAACAGGACTGGGGTGTCCAATCACAAGCCATTTAGCTCAACAAGCAGGGCGTTCTATGAAAAAGTGTTAATTATACATTTCTAAAATGGTTTATGAATTTTATATGCATCTAACAGTGATGCATGGACATAATATGCAGTGAGTTGCCCATAATCCCTTTCAGAGGTCTAGTGTGCATGGAGTAGGTAGGCCCTCAACTTCCATGTATTTGCTGGATCTTCCATATAATTCATGTGTATCAGGTCATATTATGCAAGGTAACAGAGGCTATACCTCTGTTGTGTAAAGGGGATCAAGTGAATGCTCAGAGGTCAGAAACAGAGCCAGTGGCACAACCCTCCCTCTGCAAATGAACATATCTGCCTTATATTGAATCAGACCCTGGTCCATCGAGGTCAGTATTGTCTACTCAGACTGGAAGCAGCTCTCTGGGAACTCAGGCAGAGGTCTCTCATCATCTACTGTCTGGTCCTTTTAACTGGAGATACTGGGAATTGAGCCTGGGACCTTCTGCATGCCAAGCAGATGCTCTACCACTGAGCCACAGCCCCTTCCCAAATCAACACAGCCCACTCTGTGAATTCACTTGTCATCTGGAGAGGGCTCTTCTGGAGAGGGGTGCATTTCTAAATTTACAGATGCAAGGTCCTCCCTTTACTTTTGTTTGGTTCTCTCTTTTATTATACTATATGCATTCATGGTTGCAGCAAGCCATTGGTTATTTTCATTAAGCCGATTGTGGTTTTAGACATTAAGGTTACAACCCTAAACATAAAGTTACAATCCTAACTACACAATCCTTAGAAATAAATCCTCTTTTATTTATTATTTATTACTATAATTATACTACACCTGTTCTCTTGGCTGTTGAAAGCACTGGGACTGACTTTTGCAATAACAAGGATGGGATTGTGATCTTAACATATGCAGTTTGTGCTGTGGTAGGAACTAGGTTAATACACCCATCAATTACCTTCATGAATTGGAACAAGATTCAGTTCACTGGAACTGGGGAACGTAAACCTGTTTTCATATTCCTTTAAGATCAAATACTGTACTGAAACAAAGCATGAACACCATAGAAGAGGCATTCCCTCAGGAGCTAGTGAAGATACAAGCTTATTTTCTGATACAGTACACTTTCAACAGCATTTGCAAATATATAAAAAGGAGCGGTTAAAAAAATAACAGTGGTAGAAAGATGAGAGATAAAAAGCTTATAAATTAAATAGGATGTCGGATGACTGAAAATCTAAGTACTGGACAGTGAAGACAGGAAGTTTACATAATAAAAAGCACACCTACAAATGATGGCTCTTCCTACAGCCAGTGAAATTTGATTAAAAGTGATAAAAGCAAATTACTCAGCCATTACTGACATGCAGCCACTCATGAACATCTTCATCTGGTAATATCAGATCCACTTTAAAGCTGGAAGCATTTCCAATTCTCTCTTGGTAAGAATGTTATTTCCTTCCCTATATATATTTGTCTTTGTGTTTCAAAAAGCAGTTGCAAAAACTTAGAAATACAGACACCATATTGCCTAAAAACCCCACACAACTAAATCCTGAAAACAAATCCATTCATATACTCCCCAAAAAGTAGGCACTGACAACTGGATTTTTTTAAAAAAAAATTTGCTAGGAAAACAAGCTTGTCCCCTTTTCTGTCCTTCTACTTTTCTGATTTCAAATACAACTGAAAACATACCTACCAAGTAATTTAAGGTTGTATGTAGCCTTTATGTGAGTGAGATGGCAATTTACTCATTTCATTATAAAATGCTTTTCATTCTGGCATGAAATTCTAAGTACACTATGTTTCATTTTCCTTGCCCATCACAGAACTACACAAATAATTAATATGACTGGAAACAATCTGGTGATAATAATAAATACCTCATCATAGGAAGAATCAAATCCAACTCCCCATTACCGTCATATTATGAATCCAAATAATCTTTCTTCCTGCTACTCCAGACAATAATAAAACTTGTAGCAGCCAAATTCACCAACATATAAAATGAAGACATGAGTTTAAAATTATCTAATCCCACTCAGACTGAATAGGATTATATCCTAGTAATTCAACTGATTTGAACTGTGGGATGAATTTGAAAATCCATTTCCTGCAATGAAACCCTCAAGCATAATTCCATGCTACCCTTTCCTTGAGGGGAAAAAAAAAAGAATCAGCTTGCTTTTTTCATCCTACTAACTACATTCTGTACTAGAATACAGAATATTGTTCATCAAAAGGTTCACTTTCTCCAGTGATCACATCCTACCAGTCCCCAAAGCTGCTATCTGTTTCAACTACTACCACCCGTTTCAATGACTAGCTTTGTCATAAAAGTTTTAAAAATATGGTTCCATTAATGTTGAAAGGGATGGAGGACAAAGGGCTGAAATATTTAACATAAGGTCCAAGGATGAGATGTATGAAGGGAAAGCACAGCAGCAAAATCCACTCATACAGAGGAAACGCCATGCAGTCTCCATCTCTTGACCTTTCCCTTTCACTGAGGGAGAGGCTGGCAGGGTAAGGGTGAAGTGGGTTCTTACCTTCGCTGCAGTCCTTCCCGCGGAAGCCTGTTTGAGAGCAGTCACAGACGGCCTGGTCGTTGAGCACAGAACAGACGCCACCATTGAGACAAACGTCATCCCTGGCGCACAAGTGACTCTGTTCATCATCCAGCCGCACTTCTTGACTCTCCACAGGTGAGGACTGTGTATAGTTGACCCTTACGTCTGTTATCCATCCTTGGAAGGGTTCCCGATCCTTCACTGAGGAGAGTGTCACTTTTAGAGTAGACGAGCGCAGCTCAGGTGGCAGGCCTCCTAGAAAGAGGCCACTAAAGACTGTCATGTCCCGCCGCTTGGATTTCACTTCCACCCACTTAGCTTCAGCCTGGTCAATTAGCAGTGTCGTGTTTTTAAAATTGCGGCGGATGACCACTGTGTGCCACAGATTGTCATTGACAGCCATGTCAGAGAGCAAGGTGGCAGGCTCAGCGCAGAATATAGAGAAGCTGAGCTGGAGGCGCCCACCTTGGGTCAGGATTAGCTCCAAGAAGTCACAGAAGCCTTCGTCATCAAAATAAAGGACCAGGCCACTGGAGCTGCGAGTCTTCATGTTGAAGCTCATCTCACTCTCACAGCAAGCATTCCACTTAGGGAAGCGAGTCCACTGGCCCTCCGCTCCTGGGAACTCAAGGCCGCTACCAAGCTCGGCCCAGCATCCCAGGAGCAGTGCCATCCAGAGCAGGAGGCACCCTCCTCGCCTGAGGAGCACAGGCCCCATTCTTCGTGGGGTGGGGTGGGGGAAAGGGGGAGGAGGAGGGGGGAGTGGTGGTGGGGGGCTTGGAGCAGACAGGGTAAAATCTTTTGAGTCACCACTCACACTATATGGTTAACTCTTGTTTTCCAGGTGCAGTGCGGAGGAATGTTGTAACCCCCCCCCACTAGGAGAGACTCACATGGGGCATACCCAAGATACAAAAAGAAAGGAAGGAAGAAAGGACAATGGTTCAAACACCAGCAAGTAAGCAGCCTTGCTAGAGCTTCAAAAGGTCTTCAGGAAATAGAAGGCACCATGCTTCAGTCATCTGTTTGGCTTCTAAGAAATGAGTGAGTCAGCAGAAACTTTACTATTAAAATCCCATGGCACCAATTTAGAAAGGAGATGTGGGGTGGGGTGGAAAATACACAAATGCAGGAAGGCCAGCAAACCACCTAGGCAGTTTCCAAATGGATCCACAAACGCAGCAAAAACTGATCAATATCCCAGCATACGTGGAGTCAGTATCCCAGTGCATGTAGAATTCATGTTACCCAAACAGCTGTATTCTCCCAGGGGGTTCCTTCAGTTTTCACAGGAAGCAATCCTCTCTTCCCAAGACTGATCCTCTCATCAGATCATGGGCTGCCTGACACGCAACAGACCAGAAGATTCTTTGCCTCTTTCCCAATGGAGCTGAAATCCAGAAGCTGCCAGACAGCTTGGAATCTATTTGCTACGCAAAGCCTTGTGGCTCCTCTTTTGCTATCTTGTGCAAGGCTCAAAATTAAGACGATCCCAGGGTTCGATTTTGGAGATTTGGTGCTGGACACTTTTTAAAACAACAATGCCATCTGTAAAGATTTTTTAAAAAACAAAACAAAATTACATTTTCTATCTTGTAAACTTTTTGACAGATGAATAGCAAGTGGGGCCAAGGGTAACACAGGCTGTAAATATAACCAGAGGCAAGTCCAGGTTCCCCGGTTGCCACAGAACTAAACCTACATGCATAATACCCTCTGCTGAAAACAAGCCTTTCCTGACAAAGCTCATATAGGTTTAAACAGAAACAAACAGCTGGTCACTGTTTTTGACTTCCCAATATGTTTGTTTGCAGCAGTCATCTGGATACTGAATTCAGTGATAATGTCTTCCTTTGAAACAGAACTTGCCATCCCACAGAGAGACATTTTTAAACAAGGTGTTAACATGTTTGTTGCCATTCGGATAGCCACAAACTAAATTCACAATAGACATAAATCTACATTTACTGCATTCTTTTGGAATATTGTTGCATGCTACGAACCAGTTATTCACACACAAACCCAGTATAATTCTAAACGTAAAGTAGATGTAAACCCAACGGGAGCAAGCAACAGTAGATTTCCACAGCATAATGACTGCTGTGCGTCTCCCAGCCAAAGTTAGGGTTGCCAACTCCAGGCTGGGAAATACCTGGAAGTTTGGGGGTGGGACCTGCAGAGGGTGGGGTTTGGGGAGGGGAGGGGCCTCATCAAGGCACAATGTCATAGCCTGCATTTTCCAAAGCTGCTGTTTTCTCCAGCTTTGTAATTCTGGGAGATCTCCAGGTCCCACCTAGAGGTTGGCAACCTTACCCGAGATTCACACACACACTTCCACCCTTAGCAGTTGATACCATGCAGACTATAGGTAAGCGATTCTCATACTGTAAAGCATGTAGGATGAGGATCTTCATTTTTGCATCCCAACTGTATTCCAAACTGCCCCACTCCACATGGGTTAAGGCACATCCCGTCTCCCCTTACCCAAAACTGCTTCCAGCAGTACCTTTATCTTCATGAATAACGCCTGTTTACTAATTCTTTCCCAGTCATTGAAGGGATCCGCCCATGACCATTGTCCCAGCTGTCAGCCAGCAGAATTCAGGCAGAAGGAACAGCAAATCAAAAGCCGCCTCAAGGTAGCAGCAAGACGAGAGCTCAGCATTCCCGAGACGGCGCTCAGACGATCGAATGTTATATTTTCGATATGCCTGGAGCATCTCAACTACCCCCTGCCGCCTGTAATTTGCATTGTATTGCAAACCTGGGGCATTTCTGTTTGAACTACAAAAGAGCAAAACTGATAAACTGCCTTGCTGTTGTGCATCGGTTGGTGCAATATCATCTCCTGCCATTGCTGGTGCGGGTTAACATTTTGGAGAAGGCTGGGAGGAAGGAACGGTGCAGCGGTTTAATACATGCTTTGCAAGCTCTCGACAAGGCGCTTGATCCATTTTAACGCCTTGCAACTTTCTAGATGGAGGCTGCGCGCGCCAGCACTGTGCAACTTCTCCATGCAATTTTTGGATTATTCCCTTTTGCTAAGTGCATGGCAGTACCTGGCAGCGTCCAGGGAATAGACGGCTGGCGGGGTGGCAACGTGGAATTTGTAAGGGGGGTCGGTGCATTCATAGGTTTGCAATCCCCGAGTAAGGGCATAAGGGACGATAAACAGCGGCTGGACGACAGCGGGGACGTACCGTTTTGCAGTTGCTAGGGTGGAAGCAGTTGGGATGGGCATGGGCTACATCTGGGAAAAGGGGGACTGGGGTGTACTTATTAGGGAAGCAAAAATGCCACACGCGTAACAAGGAAAAACAGTGGGCGCTCTCTAGCTTCGGGGCTTCTTTTCCAAAAGAGATGCTTCGATATGTGCAGGGATGGACTGTGAGGAGCCGAAAGGACGGGGAAGGAAGGTGCCTGATGCAGCCATTGTGTCTTTCTGTATGCATCGTACGGTGCAAAGTCCTAGATCTATTTACAAACCCAAGGAAGAAAGCTGGGGTTTTCTGTCCACAGAAGGGAAACTTCTAGGGATGGGCGTGGGGACAGAACTGTTTCCAGACAGCGAAAACGCTCTGAAATACCGACGGGAGAAGCGGCCGCCACTGTTACTAGCCAAGGCAGCGGGAAGGAGAGGCCCGCGCCGTCTCCTCAGCCGGTCAACCCCGCAGGGAGACTTCCCCGCAACACGCCGCCTCCTCCCTCCCGGCCAGCGCCAGGCGGCCAGAGCCGGAGGGGCGCCCAGCGGAGCGCCTCGACCTGCCCGCCTCAGCAAGCCGGAAGCCCGGCAGGTGTCTCGCGGGTGTCCGCGCGGGGTGTAAAGGAGGCGGGAAATTTATGGCACCGCATTGAGCCGGCGAGGAGGGCCGTCTGTCCTCCTCGCCCACCCCTCGCCCCGCCTCGCCAGGCTCCTCCTCCTCCCCGGCAGCGCGCCAGGCTCCGAAGCAGGTGGCTGGAAAAAACCTCCCCGTCTGCGCCTTCCTCCTGGGATCTCCGCGCCGCCCTCCTGTCCAGCGCCGCCGCCCCACCTCTCCGCTTTCACTACGCCCGAAAACAGAGGGAAGCGGCAGGGGGGGGTGGCAGGGAGACTGGCGCGAGAGGATGAATTGCCTGCCTGCGAGCGAGAGAAGAAAGGGTTACTGAGAGGGAAGGAGACTCCGCTGAAGCCGCCTGCCGCGCATATGACGACCGCTAACTCGGGAGGGTCTCCTCGAAGGAGCTCGGCAGGGTTTTAGGCCGGGGACTGCCCTGTCCCAGCCCTGCTATTCGAGCTCCTTTGTCTGGCGGTGCCCGGGTCGGATCCTGGAATCTTCTGCATTCCGAACGTGCGTTCGGGTCTCTGAGTCACACTGCCCCTTCTCCCAAATCACGGCGTTTCACGTTGACCATAAAGAGCGGCACCATACACACTGAGCCAGAGCACTACTTGAGCTAGCCCTGTCTCGTCCCCTCTGCCGATGAGCAGCTCTGCCCCAAATCTCAGGCGAGGCTCTTCCAGTCCCCCCGAGGCCCTTCACGCTGGAGGTGCAAGGGACTGAACTGGGATCTCCTCCACGCCAAACAAGCGATTCCCCACTACACTATGGTCACTCCCCACCACGGTGGGTGTGTTCCATGGGAAAATGCTAAAGAGAGGCAATGCATATGTGAGAGCCCTGCACAAATAATTGGCCTATTCACTGCATATGAGAGACAGTTGTGGGGGAAAGTTACTTGTGTGTGAAAGAATATGATTGAATATTGAAGGGGAGGGGTGTTGGTGAGTGTGTATATTAAGACGGATTACTTGTATGTGTGTTTAGCTGTGTGGGAATGAGAGAGTTACAGGAAGGGATTAATTTGTGCGCCTGTGCATGAGACAGGGAAAACTGCAAGACAGGGCTGTATGTGTCCGTGCATTATGTGCCAGTGGTGCAAGGGGAACATTAATTTTGTGTGTCACAGAGAACTACAGAGAAAGACTTTATCTAACCATCCATCTATGTAATACTGTGAGTTATAGTAAGATGTTGCATGCATGGAGGGCAGTGTGTGCGGTAAATGACATACTGTGGGAGGGTTACATTAGGTGCGTTGAAGGTGTACAAAATAAAGATTTTATGTCTGCAAAAAAGCGACTCAGTGGACCTGTTCATAATGATGGTACCCAGACAGGTGTAATGATGTCATGTGACTGGGGAAATGATGGTATTTGTGAGCATTGCTTATTCAGATGAGTGGGAGGGTGGGGAAGCATTATGGGGGGAAATGGGGGAAGCATTATGGGGGGAAATGGGGGAAGCATTATGGGGGGAAATGGGGAAAGCAGGTTGTGTTATTTTCAGGATGAACTGTGGGGTCAGTAACATGAGTGTTGCAAAGACCATACATAATGTTGGCGTGTGATATTCGCATATAATTAAGTGTGTAACTCATTACAGCAGGGGTCATAGTGGATGGGTGTAATGTAAATACTGGCATGAGAGAGCTAGCTGAAGGATTGGAGGGGTCACTGTGTCCAAGACTTTGAATGTACTCCAGGCAAGTGCTGAAGCTGAAAATGTATGATGTATGGAGAAGGTATGTGCGTGTGTGTGTGCAGGTCACAGGAGGAAAATTTACTGAAGGAATATTCTGCACACATGTAGGTATCAACGTAGAAAGTGACAGGAAGCCTATGTCTGAAGGCAGTGATTGGGTATTAGGACAAACGCTGGCAGAGGCCACCGTGAGAAA